CTCAGTCACTTTTCTACTAAGTCCCCAGTAGTAATGTGATGGCACCAACAGTCTTTTCTTCAACAAACAAGCTGGTATGGGATAAAGCACACCGTTATCATTGTAGACAAAAGCTTCATATGTTCATGTTTAGATTTGACTTCTGAATGACATAGTGTGAGGGAAGAAGATGTTGATTTTTTTCAACACATTCTACCAACAGCAACACAAGAATTAGAGTATGTATGTATCCCTGTGCTATTGTAAAAGTCACCAGGATGCCATTTATATCTGTTCCCGCCAAGCCTTTCTGGACAAGCATGTGGTGCAGCAGCTTCAGACTCACCATTCCTTTCCTCTCTGTCAGTCTTTGTCCAGTCGGTGAAGTCAGTGGTATTTAGGCTTTGTAAAAAAGGCCATTCTACTAGGAATTCAGCAGCATTTGGGGGCAGTGGGAGGATGTTTGTTAGCTTTTGTTTTGTGGATGGACAAATCATGTATGCACACTGAGCTCTGTGGCATTTGGTTAAATGGGGTTGGATGGGACAAAACATAGGCACAAAGCTCGGTTGTGCTTTGAGGAAGAGAGTGCCCGTTCTGGCTCTGTACCAATGTCTTTTTTTACCCCTGGAAGACACCAGTCACAACTACCACCTGCCTGTGTAACTCACCATCCCATGTCCTTTCAGTGCATGCTTCTGGGTCCCTAACAAGGACAGGGTTCTTGTTGCTTTGTATTCCATAGATTTCTGGGTGATTTTTGAGTCCCACACCTTCCATAGTGCCCTAACCTGAGTGTCGCCAATCAGTCTAGGGTTCTTTTGCTCCATGTGGATGGAAATTGTGAATCAATAAAGTGCAGCTCTGCTAGCAGTCCTGATGTCACCACATGACACTGTGTAACAATCGATACCATCTATGACAAAGCCAGCTGTTGGTCACTGCCGCTGCCGGCCATCATTGTCCAATGCCAGCTTGTGCTGGACACCAAAAGTAGACTCTTCCAGGTTTCAGGTCTCTGCTACTGGTTTTCATTGACTGCTGGTCTCTGGAGCACTTCAATATTAACAGCTCTCTTTGTCCACTCTGTCCACATTACTCAGGATAAAAATCCTCAATAGATTTACATGAGTGTGGAAGCCCATACTGTCTGAGAATCTAAAGCCTGAGCAGGTTTACAGGAACACCAAAGCCATCTTTACTGCACCAGGGTCTGTGCTGCAGGATGGGGGATGTGGTGGGGGGTGAGGTGCACAGAGGAGAGAGCCCTTGCAAACTAGAACCCAGGAAGTGCCTGGCAAGTTGCAGTCCTGTCTCAGAGAGGGTGAGGGCTGCAATCCCAAAATCTGCAAAGCTTGCTGTGAATGCTGGGTGCGCAGATGAGGACCACAGATCTTTCCCTTTCTGATCTTAGCCACTACAGCTGCCCCTCTGTTCTCCAAAATGGAACAGCATATTCTGGAGTGGCCGGATGGGGGAGAGGTACCAAGGTTACCTTAAGGCACTCATGTTGGAATGGGGAATGGCAGGTTGATAGACAGGGATGCCATAACCAGGTAGCAAGGGAGGACACTGAAGCAAACCGTTCCATTCCATTTCGGTGAATGGAGGAGCAAAACATCGCAAGGGGAAGAAAGCTGCTGGCGAAGCTGTAACCCCAACTAGCTGCAGGAGAAAAATGAGTCCAGCATTTCCTTCTCATGTGTCTCAAGAGGAGGCTTTCAGCCATGAATCTTTCACTCACTGGGCTCCATCTCCCATGGGAAAGAGCAAAGTCAGGTGAGCACTGCGTGGGGGTTGCTAGACCCTGTGCAGGTTGTCTCAGTCTTGCAATTGCTGCTGCACCTGGCTTTCTCCCTCGGGGCGCTAGATCCAGTCCCACAATGGGCTGTTCACCCGACTGTGCTTTAAACAGTGCTGGGAGTGAGGGATGGCCAGATCTCTTTGGCTGAACACCCTGACACTATAAGTCATCTGATGGGCATTTTTTTTTTTTCAAATTGCCTTTCAGCTTGGGGGATTTTGTGTACCTTCTTCTCCATTTCCCTGTGCCTGTGGACCTTGAAGAGCACCTTCGCAGAGACTCATGAGCAGCAATGCCTCGAGCCCATCTCTTCCAGAAGCCCATAATTCTTAAAATTCTTGGCATTATTCCTTAAGCATTTTTATTTCAAACATGTGTTGTAATCTTGACATTATTGTAAGAGATCCAGCTGCTGTTCTGAGTTTTAAAATTCTGCCTCAGCCGTCTTCCTTTCATCCAAAACACCATCACTGCGGATGAAGGATATTATCATCCTGATTCTAAGTGATAGTTGTCACTTAGCAGTTCACTGCCTCAGCTCTATCATCTACTATGCACAAATTACAAATTGCTACATATTTTGTTAAAGAAAAAAAGTTTTATGGAAATCATAAAATCAAAATATGTATTCAGAATTATTATTTTGGCCTTTTTTTTCTGTGTGTAAGAAAGAAAATGCTGCTGAGAGCTACAATAGAGATTTCATCTTCCTAATTTCTGCCTTTGAGGCCTGATATTTCTCATTGTTCTTTTCTTCCTCAGAATATCGCTGTCCTCTAGATTTTTGTATCCTACTGTTTCCTTAATGTGTTCAGAGGAGACGGTCCAAATATTTAACATGTCATGGGCTCCAGCGAATGAGAGCAAACATTAGCTGCAAAGAATCATAATGGTTAAACAGTCAAACGTCAGCCCTGGAGGTGTGCAAACATCTTTTCTATATATTTAGGAGATGATGTTTGTGCCCTACGCAAGAGCAGACTAGCTCTGCTTCCTTTTCGGCGCTGACCACGAACGGCTCAACTGGACAGCCCTTCTCCAGAGAATTGTTCTCTGCTAATGGAGCGCCTCTGTTCTGCTGGAAGGCTTTTAATCATTACCTCTGTTCCTCAGGTACATAAACAGCATATACAGTTTTTTCATATTATTGACTAATCTTTGATGATTTTTGGTAGTTTGTATTTTTAAAGAAATTAGTCCATTTCTTCTGAACATCAAAAGTTTGCATAGAGGATTTAACTTTATTCCTTTATCATTAAACATACATGCAATCAGTAGCATTGAATTCTTTCATTGATGAGTTTGGTAATTTCTTACCTTGGCTGTTCCAGTTGGAGATTAATCAATTTTATTATTACATAGCATAATTTTGATTTCATTGAGTTTTCTCTATGTTTTTACTATATTCTACATCACTGACATCTGTCCTATATCTGCTGTTTCCTTTTCTCAGCTTGTTTTAGTTTCATTTTTCTCTTTATAAGATGAAGTTGGCTTTTACTTCATTCTTCTTCTGTTACATAAGAATTTAACAATGTTTTCCTTTTAATCACTGTTTCAATATAACCCCACATAGTTGAAAAGTTTTACATTTTATTTTAATCCTGTACGTTTACAAACCTTGCTTGCAACCGAAACCTTTATTTGCAAGAATGTGCAGTTCAAATATTTGGAGAGGAGTATTCTAGCTTTCTTTCATTGTTGAGTTCTAGAATCATTACACTGTGACTTGAACACACATTTTATGTTTTTTTTCAGTTCTATTTTATGGCTCAGTACATAATCTATGTCACTGATTGATTCATGCATACCTAGAAATATTCATTTTCTGCTGCTATTGAATAAAATCTCTATAAATATCATTGATTGAGTTTGTTAATGGTGATTTTATAATAAAATATATTTCTTTATGATTGTATGATCTATTAGTTGCTCAGACAGCACAAGTGAAGTCTCCAGTACTGGATGTTTCTGCCCT